AGATCCTCATCTACGAGTTCATGCCCAACAGCGACCTTGAGAGCTGGATCGGTACTACTGTCTCCCACCCTCTTTCACTTCGTCAAAGGCTTGACGTTCTGATTGGAGTGGCAAAGGGGTTGCAGTATCTTCATGACTTTGGCATTGTGCATCGCGACATCAAGCCCGTCAACATTCTCCTTGATGCAAAAATGCATGCACGTCAAACGAATTTCTGGTGCAAATTGCAAACACATGTTCATCCTTTCTCAAGTATCAAGTTATGTTTTATAGAGTCCAGTATTGCGTCAACGGCATGCTCCTCATATTGCACATTCATGCTGTTGTTGTCAATGGGCAAGCCAAGATTGCCGACTTCGGACTTGTGAAGTTAAGTGGAGGCACGTCTGTGGCCGCCACCCGAGTGATGGGAACACCAGGCTTTGTGGACCCTGCCTATTACAAGTCTCACAAGGCCACTCCACCAGCAGATGTGCACAAGTAAGCAGATCAGTGCAGACACCAATGCAGGTGAGGGGCGTATTGGCCCAAAAATTCCATTCTCACAAGAACCTGAAGTGGATGAGAAAGCTTTATTTGGAGTGCACGGGTTAACAATTTCTGCACTGTGTTATCTGCTTCGTTTTGTCACACGTAGTCCATGCCTCCCACTAAAGGCATGTGTGATCAGCCAAGTGTTTGTTGATGCTCGGATAGCAAAATAGAAGCTTGGTACACGATCGCTTGTGAACAGTATGTTAATAGAGATGTGTGCCTTTGAGCGTCTTTTTTTAAATAAATCCTTCTTTTATTGCTTGGTTTGCCGTTTTGGCATTGTGATGTTGGTGCTTATCACGGCGCGGAAGGCTGTGCATGTTAAAGGGGACAACCAGATCGTTCTCAAGCAATGGGTGAGATACCAGCAGAATATACAATAAAGCCAGACTTACTCTCAAGTCAGTGCAACATGCTCCTTTGTTAACACCACTCTTCTAGATTGCCTTTGCCCTTCGCCAATTTGATGTGCTCCTTATATCCTTTCCCGGCAAGACATATGCTGCAATGATCACCGAAACTTTAACAATGATGATTATTTTGCCTTACCTCGCTGTTCATTTGTGACAGAATCAGCCTTTTGATCACTCATCCTATCTTCCTGGAGCTAATTCCTTCAAAACAAACATCCTCCCATGCGTTTTATCCCCCTCTCTATTGTCATTTTTGTTTCGTATATACACCTTGAATCTTTCTGAACCCTTCATGTGGCACACGCATTCAACCTGGCATGTGGCCCCATTGGTGGATTCAGGTGATGCGGCAGCATTCAAGGACCCCCACTTGGACGCACCAGCTGATTTGGTGCTGTGCTTGGCTTGCATTGCCCTCTCATGCACTGCCATGCCTGTGGCCTCCCAACCCTCTATGAGTCAAGTGCTAATGGAACTGGTGAAGGTGAAGCATGAAACTTATGGAACAAATGTGAGCAAGGCCATATCGCGCATCGATATGGAAGTTGAGAGGTCTACAAGCGCCCCTTCCTTATTTGCTGAAATAGCCCGTGCAAAGTTCTCCGGGATGTAAAATGGCTCTTCCACTAGCCTGACAATATTTTATTATACATGACCTCACTGATTTATGTTATAAACCTGGTACCAATGGTTTGAGCAAGATGGATAAAGCCAAGTAACAGACTTTGCTAGACATGAATCAGAAGGGGTATCAGTTCAGTAAGTACTGTCACCTGAATATATGCTATCCCCCCTTCTCCCCCACCCCACCCCTACCCCAGTTGTTAACCCCTAGGTCTATAATACTGTATGGCCCCGGATATAGGCGCCGTCCGATTAAAGGCTCCGGCGCCTCTATCTCGAGCATGGCGCTTATGGCCGTTCCTGGATTATAAGCGCCCCCCCTAGAAAACCTTTACTTATTATAAGCGCATGTGCAATTTTAATCTAAATACTTGCTTAAAACGATAACGAAATTCATTTTTGCAGCAAGTCAGATTTCAATTTTGCTTTGTTTGACTCGCGAAGACCTGACTGGCTGCGCGTCTAGTCAGGATCCGCTGACATGACGTGTCTTTGCCTGTGTGTGCGCCCAGAATATCACTTGCGCGAGATTTTGTTTTGTGACGCCAAAGCATTTTGACTCGGTTGAAATGGTAAGAAGAAAATGAACAATTTGGTGCTCAAAATATATAATTTCGTGTTTGTCATTATATAAGCGCCGGCGATTATGGCCGTTACTCAATTACAAGCGCCCCCCCTCAGAAAAATGAATTTATTACAAGCGCATATGCGCCTATATCCGGGGTAATACGGTACGGTATTCAATTAGGGTCTGATTTGTCATACCCCCCCTTTTATATAAACGCAATAAGAACCCCTGCCACCCAATTTAGGGCATTCAAGGCAATCAAACAAGACTCTTTAATGGTGAATCCCGGCCCAGATTGGAAGGGTGGTTGCATCAAGTTAAGCGAGAAGAAGCCGGGCTGATCAAACACAGTTTCAAACAACTTGAGTAACAACTTGGAGATAAGACCCCCTCCAGCTGTAGACCCCCGGGTCTATGATACGGAGGGGGGTACGCTAAATAGGTTGTTTGTAGTTATACCCCCCTAAATGGGAGCCAACATTATAAGACCCCCACCCCCTAGAAAATCGGTCATTTATAGGCAATGAATGAAATTCCGATAGCTTTTCTACCCATTTTCATACCAAATTCCATAAAATGTTCATTAACGATGGGTACCTCTCACAAAAGCACATCTACTCATCATCTTGTCCATTCCGCGAAACGCTAAAAACGAATTTCATTCCGCGTACTCCTTTTGAATGCAAAAAATGGAGCACATACAGTTGACATGTATGGCTTTCAAAACACAAGTAATATACATGACCTTATGATTGTCAGAACATTATAGCTTATACATTTGTGTATGTGAAAAAAGGAGGCAAAGGTAGGAGCCAAAGCTAGGAAAGCCCTAGCTAGGCAAGAAATAGTTTAGGCAAAGAGGGGTTTCACTAGCAGGAATGGGGATACAAATAGCAAACCCTAGAAGGGTTGTACTCGCTATAGAGCACCCCACTACAGGCTAGAGCATAACATTCTGACACACCCCCATAGCCAAAGTGGGGTGTAATCAGAAGAGAAAGCAAAGCAGAACAAGCTCAGGGTGGATCACAATGTCACCACACATTCTGAGCACAAGTTCAAGAAGCAACATTTTAAAGTTCACAAGTGTAAGCAAAGCTAGAGGCTATCGCAGAGGGCAAGTGAGGAGGAGGAGGCGAGACTGTAAGAGGAGAGGAGATAGGAGGCGACGACTGAAGCTGCAGACACACGGGCAACAGGAGGCACACTGGCACAGCAGCTACCGTAACAACGCTCCGGACTACTGGAGTAACTGGCCCTGCGGCTAAAAGTAGCGGCAGACAAACAACAGCCCGTACGGGCCGCGTCCGGGCCTGGCGCAGCCCGTACGGGCCGTGCGCAGCCTGTACGGGCCGCGCGGCGGCCATGACGGGCGACGGGGAGCGACGCGCGGGTTCCTGTCGCCCGTCGCAGCGCCTCCCGGGGGCGACGCGCCGAGTGACAGGGCAGAAACCCGCCGCGCACCTCGGGGCGCACGGCGGGCTGAAAACCCTAATTTCGACGCCGCGCACCACGAGGCGCGCGGCGGACAGGGAGTAGTAGTAGCAGCGGAAGTAGTGAAGTGGTGGGCCCACAGGCCAGGAGAATATCGCTCTGAAACCATGTGAAAATAGTAGGCAGAGGTAGGAGCCAAAGCTAGGAAAGCCCTAGCTAGGCAAGAAACAGTTTAGGCAAAGAGGGGTTTCACTAGCAGGAATGAAGATACAAATAGCAAACCCTAGAAGGGTTGTACTTGCTATAGAGCACCTTACTACAGGCTAGAGCATAACATTCTGACAGTGTAGGCAATAGTGGGGTAGCCCATAAGGGGTACAACCCAATAAGGGTTACTACTTGTACCCAACTGTTTCATAGTTCAATCATTTTCTCTCGTTCTAATCTTCACATGGTATAGAGCTGGTTCCCTCGTGGAACTGTTCCTAGGGCCCACCGATTTCTTTTTCCTGCCCGGAGCGCGCTTGGCCCCTGCCCGAGTCGCGCCCCATGTCGTTCCCCCTCGCGGCCTCTAGCGGCCCCTCTTACAGCCCTTAACGGCCCCGTCGCGCCGCCCTTGCGGCCCCGTCGCGCCGCCCTTGTGGCCCCGACGAGCCGCCCTTTACGCGGCTCCGTCGCCGCCCCTTAGTGCGGCCCCGTCGCCGCCCTTTCAGCTGCCCTGTCCCCGCCCTTTCAGTGGCCCCGTCGCCGCCCTTCCGCGGCCCCGTCACCGCCCTTCCACAGCCTCGCCGCCCGCCCTTTCAGCGGCCCTGTCGCCTCCCTTCCGCGGCCCCAACGCCGCCCTTCCACGGCCCCGTAGCCGCCCTTCTACGGCCCCCTCCCCCTCGGTGCCGCCCTTCTGCAGCCCCGTCGTCGCCCTCCAGCGGCCCCGTCGCCGCCCTTCCGCGGCCCCGTCTCCGCCCTTTCAGCGGCCCCGTCGCTGCCCTTTCAGCGGCCCCGTTGTCGCCCTTCCACGTCCCCGTTGCCGCTCAGCCGCCCAGCGCCCGAGCCGCCGAGCAGCCCAGCCACCAAGCAGCCGAGCTGCCGAGCAGCTAAGCCGCCGAGCAGCCGAGCCGCCCGACCGCCCAGCCGCCCTGCAACTGAGCCACCCGACCGCCGAGCTGCCCTACCGCCGAGCCGCCCAGCAGCCGAGCAGCCCTACAGCCGAGCCGCCCGACCGCCGAGCCGCCCTGCAGCCCACCCGCCGAGCCGCACCGCAGCCAAGGCGCTACCGCCTGCCGGCCTGCCCGGGACCGCCCCACTTGCGTAGTAAGAGCAGCGCCTCTGCCACTGCACTGCCCTGCCCCACTGTACTCGCTGCCTGTCTACTGCTGTCATGGCCTCCCCTAGTGTTCTCACCTTTGACGCTGAGGGTCGGGCAGTTGACTATGGTCTGGGTACATGATCTTCAGCTTTTCTTACAGTGCGATAGGGCAGACGGTCTCTCCCTGTTTGACCTCACTTCTGGTGCCTCTCCTACCCCTGCTGCTGATGCTGACACCACTGTTCACTCACACTGGGCCACACGTGATGCTGCTGCTCGCCTTGCTGTGCGCCGCGACTTACCGACCACTGAGCGTGCACACTTTAGCCAGTACAAGAGTGCTCAGACCTTGTACGACGCTGTAGTTGCACGCTACTCTTCCCCTGCCACTGCCGCACTGAGCCGCCTCATGCTACCGTACCTCTTCCCTGACCTTGCTGCCTTTCCCACAGTCGCTGACCTCATTACGCACCTCCGCACTAGTGACACTCGCTACCGCGCTGCGCTTCCTGCTGAGTTCTGCGCCAAGAACCCCCCCCCCCCCCCCCATGTACATCACCCTCTACTACATAGTCACGCGTAGTCAGGGACCACATCCTCTCTGTTTGCCCCACCACTCTCACCGTTGACCTCCTCGAGAAGGCCCTCCTAGCGATAGAGAAGAGCATAGTCGCTGTAGGAGCCTCTCGTGGTGACCCTCGCACCTCCATCTTTCAGGGGTGTTCTCCCTCCCCCCTCTTGCCCTTTATTGCCTATGCTGCTGCGGCCAACCTCGTTGGTTTCCAGTCGGTCAGCGCTGCGTCTGCCCCGAGCGGGAGACGCCGCACCGGCAAGGGCAAGAGGGGTAAGGGCACTGGAGGGGGTGGAGGGGGCGGTGGAGGTGGTGGTGGAGGCGGTGGAGGGAGTGGGGTTGGTGGTGGGAGTGGTACCGGGGGTAGCGGCGGCGGCGGCAGCAGTCAAGGCGGCTCAGGCGGTGGTGGTGGCGGAGGGAGCGGAGGTGGCGGAGGAGGCGGAGGTGGAGGAGGCGGCGGAGGCGGCGGCGGTTGCGGCGGTGATGGAGCGGGTCGCGACTCTGCGCAGACGAGTGGCTCATGTGGTGGTCCACGCCAGCAGCAGCGGAGTGGTGTGACTTTGTCCCCTCAGCAGCTTCTTGAGTGGAACACTCCACGTCAGCGCAGTAAAGGTTTTGGACCCTGCACTTACGTCCTCCGTACCGGCGACCGAGCTGATGAGCAGTGCGGAGACCCGCACTCCACCCAGCGCTGCTTCAGACGCCTGACGGATGTGTGGCGTCACCAGTTCCCTGAGGCGTCAGAGATCCCTCACTGGGGAGATCTGTCTACGGTAAGGGTTGCCGTCATTTATCTTGACTATGATGCTGTCCTTGCTGCCATGTATTCTGTGACCACTAGTGTTGAGGGTGACTGTTACCTGTGTGTACCGCCTGACCTGGGCATTGAGGCCACCGCTCTAGGTGCTGGTGAGGCTGCTGCTCTAGGTGCTAGTGCGTTTGCTGCCCCAGGTGCCAGTGCGTCTGCTGTCCCTGGTGCTGGTGAGTCTGCTCTCTCACGTACTACGTCGGCTCAGGCCTTCCACACCTTCACCCTTGACTCGGGTGCGTACCGCTCCTTCTTTCGAGACCGCACCACTCTTATGCCGCTCACTCGGCCAGTTGCAGTCTCCCTGGCAGACCCCTCTGGGGGTCCTATCCTTGCTAGCTTCTCCACTGTCCTTCCGTGCCCAGCAGCCCCCTCTGGCACCCTTTCTGGTCTCTAACTCCCCTCGTTCTCTACGAACTTGGTGAGTGGTGCTAATCTACAGGATGGGGGGGTTGACCAGCTCACTCCTGCGAGTCAGCGGGTGACCCACTGTACGTGTGCTCGGATGGGCCGACACTTGGCCACGTTTACCCGTCAGCCGAGGTTGAGCCTGTAGACACTGACTACTAAGTCTCCTCCGGTTGCTGAGTCTGGTCAGGTAGCTGCGTCGGGTCAGGTGTTTGCTACAGCATCCTACAAGTGGAGTGGAGCGGGCCTAGAGGATGGGGGGGTTGACCAGCTCACTCCTACTGACCTACTGCAAGTGTGCTCGGACAGGCCGACACTTGGCCACGTTTACCCGTCGGCGAGGGTCGAGCCTGTACACCCTTGCTACTTAGTCTCCTCCGGCTACTAAGTCTACCCAGGTAGCAGCGTCGAGTCAGGTGTTTGCTGCAGCTTCCAGGTCTGGTCCTGAGTCTGCTCCCTGCTCGTGTCGTCTGTTGTCCCACCACACTCTCCTCTGGCACCACCGCCTTGGTCACCCCTCCCTGCCTTGTCTCCGAGGCATGGCCTCCCGAGTCCTTGTCTCTGGTCTCCCTCGGTCACTCCCTCCCCTACCTCCGGGGCCTGGCCCTACCTGCGTCCCTTGTGTCGAGGGGCGACAGCGCGCCGACCCTCACTCCTCCAAGTTTCCTCCGACAGAGGCTCCGCTGCAGACTCTCCACATGGACGTTTGAGGCCCAGCCCGCGTCAGTGGGCAGGGACGCAAGCGGTACTTCCTGCTGGTGGTTGACGACTACTCGTGTTACACCACGGTTTTCCCCTTGCACAACAAGGGTGACGTCACTGAGGTGTTGATCGACTGGATCCGCGCAGCTCGTCTCCAACTCAGAGAGAGTTTTGGCTCGGACTTTCCTGTTCTGCGTCTGCACTCGGACAGAGGCGGGGGGTTTTCCTCTGCCCGCCTAGGAGCTTTCTGTTGTGCACAGGGCATCCGCCAGACCTTCACGCTTCCGGCCTCTCCACGGCAAAAAAAGATTGCTGAGCGCCGCATTGGCATGGTCATGGACGTCGCTCGTACGTCCATGATGCATGCGGCTGCCCCCCATTTTCTGTGGCCGTTTGCAGTTCAGTACGCCGCGCATCAGCTCAACCTTCAGCCCTGGGTCTCCATGTCAGAGACCTCCCCCGCCCTGCGGTGGACCAGGAAGGTTGGCGATGCGTCTGCGTTTCAGGTCTGGGGATCTCGGGCGTTTGTCCACGACTTGTCTGCGGACAAGCTGTCCCCGTGTGTTGTTCGTTGCGTCTTCCTTGGCTTCCCCCTTGACGCGCCTGGGTGGCAGTTTTACCACCCCACCTCGCGTCGTGTTCTGTCTTCCCAGGACGTCACCTTTGACGAGTCGGTGCCTTACTACCGTCTCTTCCCCTACCGCACTGCGCCTCTCCCTCCGCCGCCGCTCTTCCTTGCACCAGGTCCTCCCCCAGTAGACCCCCTCCCCCTTCAAGGTCCTGCCCCGTCAAGTGTTTCCCAGGTAGACACAGTCGAGCGTGTCGAGGTAGCTGTTGACTCTGGTGCTGCTAGAGGTACGGAGCGTGGTGCTGGGTCTGGGGGTGCTGAGACTGGGGGTGTTGAGACTGGGGGTGCTGTTTCTGGGGGTGCGGAGCCTGGGGGTGCGGAGCCTGGAGGTGCGGAGCCTGGGGGTGCCGAGCTTGTGGGCGTTGGGTCTGCTCGTGTGGCCGCCGGCGGTGCTTCGTCGAGGCGGGTGCCACTCTCTCCACAGGAGCTGCGCGAGTGGTTTGCTCGCCGCTGGAGACGTGTTGCTGAGACTGGGGGTGCTGCTGGGGCTACTGGGGTTGGTCCTGCTGGAGCTGCTGGCGGTACTAGTGCTGCTGGAGCTGGAGCTGCTGGGGGTGTGGGCGCTGGTGTTTGTACTGGCGCTGGTGTTTCTACTGGCGCTGGTGCGTCTGGGGGTGCTTCTGAGGCTGCTGGAGCTAACGGTCCTACTGGAGTCGGTGCTGCTATACCAAGTGCTGCTGGGGGTGTTGGCGCTGGTGTTGCTGCTGGCGCTAGTGCTTTTGAGGGGGCTGGAGTTGATGCTAGAGGAGCTGGAGGTGCTGCTGGCGGTGGTGCTGCCCCTAGGGGTACTAGTGCCGTCCTTGCTGGTTCACGAGGCGCTGAGCGACCGAGGCCGTACTTCGTTCCGCTCCTGGAGTAGGTTCTTGGTCTCCCGCCCTCTCCTGGTCCTGCTCCTCCCTTAGAGTGTCCACAGCCTGTCCAGTCGCAGTCACAGTTACAGCCCTCCCCCCCTCTACTCGCCACTCGTTCTCAGCTCTGCCTTTGGATGAGTCCGTAGAGCCGAGTGGCCCGTACCCAGAGCTTGTTGGCTACCTCATGTACTTGATGACCTGCACACGACCTGACCTTGCATTCCCTCTTAGCATCTTGGCAGGCTATGTTGCTCCTAGGAGACACCGACCAGAGCACATGGCTGTAGCGAAGAGGGTGTTGCGCTACTTGTGCAGTACGTCGGGCATGGGGCTAGTGCTTGGAGTGCGACGTCGAGTGGTCCTCACAGGTGACGCTGACGCTTCTTGGGCTGATGACCAGGCTACGCAGCGGCCGTCACAGGGTTACACCTTCAGCCTTGGCTCCGGCTCTATTTCGTGGTGGTCTACCCGCTCGTCGTCTGCTCTCGGCTCCAGCTGTGAGGCTGAGATCTACGCGAGGGCCATGGCTGCACACGAGCTACGCTGGCTCACCTACCTGCTGACTGACCTAGGAGAGCCGCCTCGTTCTCCTCTAGTGCTGTACGTAGACAACAAGGCCATGCTGGCCTTGTGTCGGGAGCACAGACTGGAGCACAGAACGAAGCACATTGCTCTCCGCTACTTCTTGGCTCATGAGCTGCAGCAGCGTGGTCAGCTCCGCCTCACCTACGTGGCCTCTGAGGCCAACACTTCTGATATCTTCACCAAGGCCCTTCCGCCTTGTGACCATCAGCCCTTATGTACTTTGCTAGGTCTTGTGCCTACCTGGCCTCACTTGCTGACTTCTTGATCTTGTTTGTACTGTACTCTTTCTATACCTTTACTTCCTTGTCTACCTTTATGTATATGATCTTGCATGTGAACTGGCCTTGTGGCCTTACTCTTGTGCTCGGACTGTGTGGTGACTTTGTGATCCACCCTGAGCTTGCTTTGCTTTGCTTGACTGGTCTTTTAACCACTTGTTCTCCCCCACTTTGCCTATGGGGGTGTGTCAGAACATTATAGCTTATACATTTGTGTAGGGTGTAGTGGGGTAGCCCATAAGGGGTACAACCCAATTAGGGTTAGTACTTGTACCCAACTGTTTCATAGTCCAATCATTCTCTCATTGTAATCTTCACAATGATAAGGCCTGGGTCTTATAAAATGTAGCCAAGTGTTGAGTGGGATTCTTATAATACCCCCGAGTCTTTCATTTGGGGTATTACAGGTATGCAGGTCGAGCTCACATTATTGGCTCCTATCAAAACAGAATTTCCACTCATGCCAAAAGTCACATTTCTCCACCTGCACGACGGTAGCACGGCGATGGCTTCAATTGCTGGGTCCAACTTCAAGTTCAAGTTGGGCCACGATTCACTACTGGCTAGCTTCCTTTCTTGAAATTCCTAGTTTTCTACAGTATCATAGAATAGCTGAGAACTTAGCCTTTTTGCCTAGGCGTGTGTCAAACTTATGCTATAGTCTGTGTAGGCTGATGTGGGGTAGATAATATGGGGTACAACACTTTTAGGTTTTCGTACTTGTACCCACCTGTTTCCTAGTGCATTTATTCCTCCTTCTTTCACATGGTATAGAGCAGGTTCCCTAGGGGGAACGTTTCCAAGGGCCCACTGAAAATCGATTTTTTTTTTCCTGCCCGGAGCGCGCTTCGTCCCTGCCCGAGTCGCGCACCGTGTGCCTGCCCTCCCGTCACGTCCCCGGCCCTTAACGGCCCGTCGCGCTCTCTTACGGCCCCGTAGCGGCCCCTCTCACGGCCCCTCATGGCCCCTCTCATGGCCCTTCGCGGCCCCTTCAGGCCCCTCGCGGCCCCTTCGTGGCCCCTTGCGGCCCCTTCGCGGCTCCGTCGCCGCCCTTCGAGGCCCTTTGCGGCCCCTTCTCGGCCTAGTCGCCGCCCTTTACAGCCCCTCACGGCCCCTTCTCGGCCCCGTCGCCGCCCTTCGCGGCGCCTCATGGCCCCGTCTCAGCCCCGTCGCCACCCTTCGCGGCCCCTCACAGTCCCGTCTCGGCCCTGTCGCCGCCCTTCGCGGCCCGTCATGGTCTTTCATGGCCCTTATGCCGCCCTTACTGGCCCTTTCTCGGCTCCTCCGCGAACAGCAGCAGCCGCAGCCAGCAGCAGCCACCGCCGCCGATAGCAGCAGCCGACAGCAGCAGACGCTGCCGACAGCAGCGGCGGCCGCCGACAACAGCAGCCGCCGCCGCCGACCGCAGCAGCCGCCGCCGCCGCTGCCGTGACAGCCGCCGCCGCCGCCACTGCCCGGGCCATAGCCGCCACTACCGTGACCGCCGCCATCGCCGTTGCTGAGGCCGCAACCGCCGCCGCCGCCGACATCAAGAGCCGGTGCCGTCATCACGGCCATGTCCCTGCCGACGCGCCTCGGCCCTGCCCCACCACTTGCGGGCCCCTACCCACCCGCCCTGGTAAGAGCACCGCCGAGCCGCGCCTGCTGCTACTGCAACTAGCCTGCTGCTGCTGCTGTCATGGCTACTCCTGGCGTTCTCACCTTTGATGCTGAGGGTCGGACTGTCGACTTTGATGTCTGGGTCGATGATCTGCAACTGTTCCTGCAGTGCGATAGGAAAGACGGTCTCTCACAATTCAATCTCACGTCTACCGCCTCTCCTGCCCCTACTGCCGATGCTGACAGCACTGTTTGCTCACAGTGGGCCACACGCGATGCTGCTGCCCGTCTTGCTGTGCGTAGTCACTTGCCGTCCGCTGAGCGCGCGCACTTTAATCAGTACAAG